GGGTTTGAGAACATGTTTTATGGCTGTATACAAATGCCTATTCCATTCATTCAGAATAACACATGCGGAAATTCAAAGACCATCAACAACTCGCGCTTATTAAACATAGTGACCAAAGTTGGAACACAAAAGTGATGTGATCATCAAAACACAAAGACAAATCAATTACTCATAAGATCACAAATTTGCTTCATTCATTTCCCCTCAAAAGAATGCTAAAAAAATGCAAAAACCTTTGCAGGTTTGTTTCTTATCCAATCAATCCCCGAAGTTGAATTTGTCAAGCTAAAGGTTGCCCACATGCTGGTATACGCATATACGGCATGTGAACAAACACAATGGAATAAGGAGAAACTGTGATAGGCTCTAACGAACTCACCATTATAGGCTCCAGATGAGGTATAATCCCAGCAGGGCCAACAGTCAGTGGCTTCCCATTAAGCAACACAGTTCGGCTTTGTATGTTGCCATCTAATGGGGTCAAGTGGTATTCTTCTCTACGCCTATGAAGATGATGATGATGATGATGGTGATGACCGTGTTTGTATGGTTTTATGCCATAAAAGTCAATTCTTGCATGGACCGTCGTTTTGCCGTCTATGTTTATTAGTAATATGGTGATGCCTTGCTGCATAGGAAATAGTTCATTGGAGTCAGAATTTGCTTAGAAACATTCTTTTTATTTATTTATTTCTTTCTGAAAACACAAAACAACTCAAATCTCGTTAGATGGATTTTATTACTATGCCTTAGAACTACCCTAATCAGCTGTGTTTTTATTCAAGAAATGGCACGGGCTTAAGAGGGCCATTTGTGAAACAAAATCACAGACTTAAGAAGGGCATTCCTTTAACAAGAATAGGCCTCAAGAGTCAAGACTTGCATTTTGATCATTTTTCCTTGTTCAATTTGTGAATCATTTCCAGAAATAAAATAAGAATCGTTAACGTCCTAAGACTCACAGAGTGCTTTGCACAATGAGCGTAAGTACGGATCATTTTAGTCCCTGTAAAGTTGGTCGATAGAACATATTCTCCCATTAACCTGTGCCAAAGAAGAGCACTGCAAGAAAACGGAAAGTGTGTACGGGTTAAAATCCTAAAGAAATGACAAAACTATCTCCAAATATTATCGAATTTTGCGAGACATATTAACTGGAAAAAACAATAAAGGGCAATGAAAATACAGAATAATCCATTTTAACTTAACCTGTAGTAATCTGGATTTGGAACAAATGTTGCGGTGTCAAGTAAACCATAGTTACCACCAATTAATGACTGTCTGCAATATGTCTTTGTGTCATATATAGACGCCAACCCTAGCTGATCCAAATACCTAAATATCATTGAAAATGAAAAGAAAAAAAGATTAGGAAAGGGTCTTTTATCTGCGAGACAGCCAATCAGAAAATTTATTACAACTTACAAAAACCCAGTTTTACCAGAAACTAAACACAAATGCATTTGTAACATTATTGCGGCCGCTATTGTAAGCTCCACCGGCTTCCCCAACCCAAGCAACTGCCGAGTTTTTCGAAGTTCTTACAATGTCATGGACATTTCTGAACAGGTCAGCTCCATTATCGAGAATGGTTGGGTTTAGAATTCTATCTATAAGATGCTCATCACTTCCTATACAAAATCAGCAGAAGTAGAATTTGTTCACAAATGGTCTGCATTATCTAAAATTTATTTTCAACAGAAATAACTAATAAATTTTATTGCTTTGGGTGTAGAGTACCTGGGCCGAGATTATAAATATGGTGGGTTATCACATTCAGTGACCCCACAGTTTTAGCTAAGAATTGCTTGAACCAGGCAGCGTCAAAGAATCCTCCTGGTGCTATGATCTGAGGTCTGTTTGTAATATTTTTATAGATATCTTGCACCAAATTGTGTAGAGTAATTGTGTCTGATGCATATGGATCAACAGCAATTCCTACTCCTACCCCACTTCCACTCAATTCATTCCCTGACAAGAAATGACAAAAAATTTCAACTACTTGTTTTTGTTCATATTCAACTGCACATAAAAAAACATGAACATGATCACAAGCTACAAGAATGTAGGCAAATGCTAAGGAAATATTGCTTAGTTTTTTGTTTCAAATACTAGTATTTGTTATTTTTAGATCCAAGGTTTTTTGCAGCTTAATTTAATTAAGGTTCCAAAAAAGTAAGAGGATTTTGTTCTTTAGGTCCAAATTCTGGTTTTGACTTTTATGCACAAATAAAGCAATTTTTCTCCACCACGTACCCTCTTTCATATATAGAATATCTATGTGCTGAAGGCACCTATAGTAATACAAAAAAACAAGAAGCAAGATATTATGATTTGATATCACGAATCATACCCAGTTCCCAACCGTAGACTTTGTAGCCCTTTTCTACTGTATAACGAATTAGAGATGCAGCATTGGAGGAATCCCAGGGGCCCGTTGCAGTATTCCCATGAATTGATTTTCCATGAAGAGCATTTAATCCGAAAATAACGAGAGCCCTGAATTCAACTCATACAAAGTCGATTGGTAATAAGTTTGTATATCAACATCACTAATTATACATATATATTAAAAAAAGAAAAACAATGTTTGTACCCAGATTTGTTGAAGAATGAATTGAGCTCGTCCCATCTAGCCAATGGCAGGCATCCTTGAGAGAAACCAAACATCTCGGACGGCCTTTTGGAGAATGGTAGGCATGGTTGATGTTGGTCTTTAGTCTGATAAATGACTTTGTCTTGCAAAGTGCCACCCAATCTGATCTTCAATGGCGAAAAAGCTACATTTTGTTTTTTTTTTTTTGTTTTTTTTTTAGTGAATTATAATTTCACTAAAAAGCAGTTAAGGATGCAAAACTATGTATAATGTATGTACCTTTGACCGCATTTAAGAAAAGGACATTGTTAAGGTCCTGCAATTAGGTAGCAGAAAGATAACACAATTTTCAGCAAAGGATTGATTGTTGATGAAAATAAAGATTGTGTTGAGCTCCATATATGATATACCAACCAAATTGAGCAAAGAAGCTAGTCCCCAGCTGCAAGTGCCATAGTCGCATTTATCCGGCGGCCACCAATCTAAAGTCGCACATACGAAATCCTCATCCGTCTTTGCGATTGGGCGGCTCCCCTTTATCAGTATAAAGCTGCCGCCATTAACACTCTCATTCGCACCACAAACACAGCCGACCAATACCCAAACCCACACCCACCACATCTTTGAGCAAACCATAAAACCCATCTAACAAAAATGGTGATTCAAGTTCAACAAAGCCTACTGAAAATAATATCTGCCTACCCTTATTTAGTGCAAAGAAGAAAAAAGAAATTAAAAAAAAGAGAGAATGAAGGTTATGATGTAGAGCGATAATGTGGTAATGAGAGGTTAAGCTGCAGGCTGCTTTAATTTACCAAGGAAAACAAGCTGTAACGGGAAATTAGTGGATGGAGCTTTCAAAAGCGTAAACCAAGGAAAGAGTAACAGAGAGAGATTACTGTTATATTTTCCGTCACGTGTGTGCGAATTTTGGTGTGCGTGTTTGTAATATTGACTATTTCAGTAAATCGGAATAGTGGGCCAACCAAAATATGCTTTGCTTACAAGAGATTGCATACGAGCAAAGAAAGGGATAACCGGATAAGTACAGTTTGAACTTTGAAACTTTGAATAGGATTTGGTGAACCAAAAAAACTACTCATGTTTCATTAAATAAATAAATAAAAATAAAATAAGAAAAATATGGAATAACATGGTTGTGCCCACTGTTTTGTGACCCGGACCGGCCCGACGGGTCGACCCGGGACCCGGTCGACCCGGAGCTGGTACCGGTCTGGGTGGAGTATTTGGACCGGGCAACCAAGGACCCGGTCAAACCCGGTCAAAGTCCGGCCGACCGGCCGAGACCCAGTCGACCCGAGGCACTGACCCGACCGGGTCAATCCGGTTGACCCGGTCCATATATATTTTTTATATTTTTTTATTTTAAAAATAAAACTATGTATATATGTTTTTATGGTAAATATTTATCATGAGATACATATTATTAACACTTTAATATACAAATTTTATACACAAAACATTTAATTTTGTTACTTTTATGTATATTTATATAACAAAAATACTATATATATAATTTTAAAAAATTTAAAATTAATTATTCGGTTCAACAATTGACCCGGTGACCCGACCGGTTGAACCGGTGCCCCGAGGACCTGCCCGGATCGATCACCGGGCCGGGTTTAAAAACTATGGTTGTGCCATAGCCACTTTGTTTATGTGGTAGGGATTTATGTACCACTAAGAATAGTTCGGTAGAACGGTTTCAACGGTTAGCTTGGGTATGGTCGGTTCAAGAGAGTATTAGCTCGAGTATTACAATTGAAAAATATATAGTGTTAGTTAAATACCTACTAGTGCGTAGTCAGCTATGCACGGATAATATTAGATAATAATTAAAAATTAAAGATGTGGAGTTAACATGTGATATAATTGACGTATATATTTTTTTGTAAACACTATAAAATTACATTGTTTAAAAAGAACATAAATTATGTAAGTTTAAAATATTAAAAACACCTAAAATATTATATAACATATGTAAAAGTATAAAAAATATTCTATATTATTTTTGAAATGTGAAGTCACCTAAAAATTTTCTTCTAAGGAAAATATGTATAAAAACACTTAAATTTGACCTATGTATATATTCAGATATAGATCTGAATGTGTAAAAAATTATCTAAAAACAACATGTTTAAAAGTATCTAAAATATGATGTGCATGAATAATATGTATTACAGTCTAAAAAATATTATCTATAGCATTATATGTACGTATTAAAGTCTAATAAAAATTAGTAATTAGATGTTAGACATTAGCAATGCAAAAGAAAATCATATTTCTTAACAAATGAAAATTTTGACCTTGTTTGATAATCAGCGGTTAGCTGATTGCATTAGCTATTTTTGTCCAGCGGATTGTGTTAGCTGTTTTGACTAGATGATTGTGTTAGCGATTTGTAAAAGAGTGTTTGATAAAATTAGTTATTTTTAATTAGCTTTTAACATGTAAATTACTTATAAGGACTTCAACATAATTTATCATTATTATTTATATTGAGCTTATAATTATTTAGAAAATAAAAATAATTAATATTTAAATATTTATCAAAGTAATTTAAAATATAATAAAAATATAAATAATAATAAGATGAAAATATTTTTTAGTTGAGTAAATAAGTTTACTTCATATAAATAAAGCTAATAACAAGTCATCACTATTTAAAAAAAATAAATACGTCAATTTCAATATCTCTCATTACAAATGAAAAAAAAATAAAAAATCTAATTAACTAAATTTTACATTAACAATTTCTAAAGTTCCCATTTACATCTAAGTAACTAAAATTTTATACGTTTAAAATTGTAGAAAAATAGTTGGTAAAATTAGTTGTTAAGTATTATACTAAAATTAGTTGGAATGACATTTATATATTTAAATATTTTCTTATGTCACATTAATTATAATTTTGAAAAATTAAATATTATTTATATTTTTAAAATATAAAAAATGTGATATATTTTATTGCTAAAGGTTTGAATAAAAACTTATGAGCAGCGCACATTGATTTATGTTCCCATGTGTGAAATAAAGGGCAATTAAGACTTTTAATTTTTTATCTCAACGGTTGAAATCAAAACGCTTGGAAAATGAGTGTTTTTTATTTTAGCGGATTAGGCCAAAAAAGCAAGTTGTACCCGAGTGTCAAATTTATTATCCTGTTGGGATCCGACACTCGGGTATTACTCCGTTGGGGTCCTTGTAGTTTGTTTTAGTGGTTTGTGTTATTAGTTAGTTTAGTTTTGAGTGTTTTTTTATTCTAGCGTTGCTAGCCAGGATTCTAGGCGGTCTTCTGACCTGTCCTCCCACTTTTTCAGCTGTTGGCTGTTGTATATTCAGTCGTTGACTGCTGTGTATTCGCACATTTGTGCATTTTGATTTATAATATTATCTATCGTTTTGGAAAAAAAAAAACTTGTAAAAGTTATTTACCAACCTTGTTTTTCAGCTGATTGTAAAAAGTCAAACAGCTAAATAGCTGAAAAAGCTCTTTTGAGTCCAAAAACCCATTAAACAAAAGAAACCTTTGTACGCTTAGCAAGTGTAGGCATACGAATGACTATCAATCTAAAATATTCTATATTAATCTTGAAAAATGTGTAAAATTTTATAACGGTGAATTTTATATAAAAGATATAGAATAAATATTGAGATAGCGCGAATTATGATAAGTATAACGTCACTTTATGCTACCATAGAAAAAGATTTGAATACAAACTATTTTTAAAAACAGTTTTTACTGTAAAGAAGGGATTTTGTATGCACCGAGATTTGTTCATGCTCTTGACTTATCAATTTAAAGTTGAAGACTGCATTTAATGTTGTGTTATTTTTTATTACTATTTATAGTATGCATTTAATGTTTATGGCTGTAATTTCTTTTTAAAAGTGATTTAACCTTAATCTTATTACTAGTGGGATTTCAGTTGTGCGTGCACGGCTGGCCTGATTTTAGTCTACAACTGTGAATATTTATGGGTTTTTTTCTGCCCCAAAAAAGTGTAGCTTAAAATGCGTCTAACCTTATTCATATGTTTGCCTGACTAGAAGAATACCAATACATACATTTGGCAACTGATGGGTCTACTTCTGGATCTGAAGTGAGCCAGTGGTTTTGAGCTCAGATCTGTTTGAATCGCCTTTGAACCGTTGCTAGACCGCCGTAAACACATGCAAGAACTCAACTCCGGAAGTGTTTCCGGCGTAGAGCCTCCGCCGCTCAAGTCAGTATGTGAAAAAGATGAAGAAGAGCTGCTCTGAGAGAGTAGCAGCAGCAGAGGAGAGTGTATGGAATGAGTGGAAGTTAGGGTTTAGGGTTACCTCGCCTCCTTTATATAGGAGGAAACACTTACTTGGAATACCTGAAATGCCCCAGTTGATCTACCTGAGATGTCTAATTTACCCTGGTCAATTCGTCTCCCCATACTGCTGAGTCATCACAAGATTCCTTCCCATCCATTAGAGAATGGGAGGCTTCAAGAGATATAAGTGTACTGAGTCGTCAGTATGTTTCGCGCCTCGAAGCATGAGGAGTCGACCTCAAGTACTGGGAGGTAAACTTGGGATCATATGAATATTCGGAGGCTACGCTAGTTCATCTTCTGGGTGGAAGTCGATTTTAGGACCGTAAGCTGTCTCGAAGTCGATTTGCGGGTGTCGACTTGGTGATATCGTCGTGGAGTCGGTTCGACTCGCCTTCCCAATCGAGTAATTAGNGTTTTTAACTGTTCTCTCGACATTGGGACCCTTCGAGGTATTCTTATTCGACTTTCGGCCATAAACTTTGACCCAACTTGCAGTTTCTCACTTGGATCGTCGCGCTAACTTGCTTTCGTCATTCTTTCGAGTAGCAGTAAACCCTCATAATTGCTTTTGGATAAGTCTGATGCTATGACATTCTTTTTTGAATTTCAGATTTCGAAGCGGCGCGCGTCATTTCACTCTCAGCCTTTGCGAATTCCACAATTAATCGTGACCTCTAGATTTCACTTTGATCCGACGGTCCGTATTTCATCACCTTGTATATAAATACTTCCCCTTCCCTGAGTTTACCCACTTTCTCACGCTCCCAAACTCTCTCGAATTTACTCTGAACTTCCGGCGATTTCTGCGATTTCGGCTTCACCGGCACTACTAATTTTGTCAACCTCAGATTTTTCCGAACTTCACCGGTGCTCTTAATCATGTGTAAGTTCTCTTTACTTCTCAATTTCTGTCGGTTTTCTCTTTTTTATTTTTCTGGGTTTTTCGAATCTCGGATTTCATATGTGTTCTTCACGTTCTTCCCCATTTCTGTGTATTTTCTGGTAACTTGCGGCGTCAGATCTTTCTAACATACCACCATACCTCCTTGAGGTGTTTTTAGTAGATTGATTTAGGGCATGAAGTCGACTTTTCACTTTATGGGTCGACTCATGCTGATTTATTGACTCCTCTTTATTGAATCAGTCGAAACCAGAGCTTATGTTGCTCTCTTCTGTCTTTCTTTTTCGGTTACGCCGAGTCGAGTATGTTAAAGTCGACCCGACTTCTCCTTCTATGACACTCAGGTGTCGACTTTTGTTTCACGTACAAACATTCATGTTCTAAATTTTTCCCTTTAGCTTCCAACTCTGCTTCTCTCTCGGCTCTCTTGCTCGTCAGATCAATGAATATTCAGATTCTGACTCTGTCCAAATAGTCGACTTTGGATCGACGATCGAGCAAGAGAATTCCCCTCTCGCTTCTGATGTTTCTCCCTCTGGGGTCGATTGGGATGAATACAATCAAGTGCTCATGTCGGGCATTCTCGCTCGTGAATTACAAGGTCCCCCCCGAGACGACAGTCCTCGTTTAGAACCCATCCCCCAAGGTATCTCTCTTAGGCTTCTCGATATTCCTGTATGTGAGACAAGTCCTATTTCAATAATCGCTCCTTTTGTCGAGCCTCGAGATGCTGTAACAGTAGCATGTCCTTTAGCGAAAGTGGCAACTCTTAATCCTTTTTCTTATGCCTCTGCAGTCGAACTTACTGGTTTCAGGGAATATAGCGGGCTCCCTTCTGATT